ATGAAGAACTTTTCTTGATGCACCCTCTCCACCCCACTCATGCTTTTATAGACCTCTATCCTATCCCCCCTCAGTCTCCTCTTTTCTAAACTGAAAAGTCCCAGTCTCTTTAGCCTCTCTTCATATGGGACCTCTTCCAAACCTCTGATCATTTTAGTTGCCCTCCCCTCTCCCACTTCCTTTTCCCAGTCTCCCCCTGTTTTGTTCAATAAAGAGAGATTCTATTTTTGACCACACGTTTTCTTTATTTTGTACATCAGGAAGGGGGTCTAGGGAAGGGTAAGTGGAAGGAGGTGAGGGAGGAATGGGGTACGAGCCCACGATGGGGAGGACTGGGCTGGCTCTGCGGGCTTCTGGGGGTGGAAGCTCTACTGCAGCCCCCCAATTGCACCCTCTCCCCAGATGGCAGCCTGCGGCAAGTGCAGCCGGTCTGATGGCCGAGTGCTGTGATGTGCCCAGTGTTGGCACTCAGTGCACTCCAAGACAGGACTGCTTTGCAAGCGGGGCACCCCTGAGAACTGTCTGTCTGGGGTGGGGGTCGGGACCCTTTAAGCACAGCCCTCGGCTAGCCTGAGGCAGCAGCTCCATGCTCTAAGTCCTCATCTGATGCCCTGCCGGCACTGCTTCCGGCCATCCTTAACCCTGGTTCAGGGTCCACTTAATGTGGACATGCTAGTTCGAATTAGCAAAACGCTAATTCGAACTAGTTTTTTAGTCTTGATCCGTTAGTTCAAATTAGCGCTGTAGTGTAGACATACCCTCAGTGATAGAAATCAAACTTGTAAATGCAGTTAAACTTTAAGGCTTCCCTGTGAAGCTGGTTTTTTAAATAGGTCTGAAACAATTCAGTGACTTTGAGATCCATTAAATGAGTGCCCAGGCAAGTTAAAATGTTCCCCAACAGATTTCTGTGTGTTGCCTTTTCAGATATCTGATTTGTGTCTATTCATTCTTTCTTGTAGAGACTGTCCAGTATGGCCAATATACATGGCAGAGGGGCATTGCTGGCATTTGATGGCAAGCGTCTGATGTGGTGGTTTATATGGTTAGGTCCAGTGATGATATCTGTTGTATATCTGATGTGTGGACAGAGTTGGCACCGGGGCTGATTGCAGAGATGGGTTCCTGGATGATTATGATGGATGTGTGCTGCGTGGTTACTGGAAAGAATTTGTTTTAGGTTAGAGGCCTGTCTCCTGAGGCCTGTGAGAGTGAGGGGTCATTTTCTAGGATAGGTTGTAGATTGTTGATACTGCATTGAAGGGGTTTAAGTAGTGGACTGTAGGTGAGGACAGGTGTCCTGTTTGTTTTCTTTTCTGAAACTGTCTTGAAGTAGCTGATGTCTGGGTACATGTCTGGCTCTTTCAATCAGTTTTTTCACTTCTCCGGGTAGGTATTTCAGTTTTAAGAACGCTCTATATAGATCCTGTAAGTGTTTGTCTCTGTCCATGGGATTGGAGCAAATCCATTGTATCTTAGGGCTTGGCTGTATGCAACAGATTGAGAAATGTGTCTTGGATGGAAGCTAGAGGCATATAGGGAAGTGTAACGGTTGGTAGATTTCCGGTAGAAGTTGGTGGAAATATGTCCATCATGTAATTGTACTGTCGTGTGACGGAAGTGGATCTCTCGTATGGACTGGTCCAGGCTGATGTTGATGGTGGAATGGAAGTTGTTGAAATCCCTGTGAAATTCTTCAAGGGTCTCTTTTCTGTGGGTCCATATGATGAAGATGTCGTCAATGTGATGTAAGTAGAGTAAAGGTGCTAGGGGGCAAGAGGAAACATTATTCAAGGTCAGCCATAAAGATGTTAGCAAATTGTGGGGCCATTCGGGTGCCCATGGCTGTGCCGCTGACTTGAAGATACAAATTGTCTCGAAATTGGAAATAGTTGTGGGTGAAGACAAAGTCGCAGAGTTCTGTAACCAGGCGCACAGCGGTGTCATCAAGGATGGTGTTCCTGACAGCCTGTAATTCATCTTCATGTGAAATGCTGGTGTTCAAATAGACCTTTGACAGAACCATCAGGAATATATGTTATGTGGGTTAAATATCCAGAAAGGCTGAGCCTATTTTTCCTTTTAGCAGGTAGAGATATGAGTAGAGGCAAAACTATCAAAAACACCAGGGTGACGTGGGAGTTTAAGGTCCAATTTCAAAAGTGACTTAGGCTCCTTGGAGCTAAGTCTCACTGAAAGCCAATGGCACCGTGGCCAAGTGCATAAATCACTTTTGAAAATGGTTCTTAAGCTCCTATGCTCTTGAAAATTTTATCCTACATCAGATTTGTACCCACATTCTGAGATGTGTGCCTGCAGCTGAATTCCAGGTAGCCAGTTTGGATATGCAAGCAGAATCTTCAAAAAGGAGGCTTTTCTGCTGAAATGCTGGCTCAGTATATATGTTTAACCCAGCACCACTGCTGCAGAAACACTGAATTGCTTGCCATCAGGAGTATGTCTAGTTCAAGCTGGAAGAATGTTTTAGTGCAGAAAGCATAACCAGAGCTAATTAGTTAGTATTTGTAAAGCACTTTAAAGATGAAACATTTTACTTAACATAGATCAGAAATAGTGAGTCCTCCTCAGGCTACAGCCAGAAAAAAATAGAAATTTCTCTTGGTTAATATTTTACCCAACATCCCTGCCACAGCTGGCTTTTTACCTACATGGATAGCTCTTAAAAGTGCAACAGTCTGAAGTCAAAGCTGTTGAAATTCTGTCTAGTATGGGACAGTAAAAGATAACATTTCAGACCAGACAGCTGAGCCAATAAGAGCAAGAAAGAGGATTATGGTAAAAGTGGCTCTTTAGTTTTCTATATCTAAGTTCAAATATTGCAAAAGAAAAGTTATTTAAGTTCCAAGCATCTCCTGTTCGTTTGCTTTTTTACACGATACATGCTAAAGCATAATGCCAAACTTAGCTGCTCCTGTCCCACCCAGCTGCCAGTGTGGGGTTATAGACTTCGCTGCACTTTAGAGATCTTTAGCTACCATATTCATTTATTTGGCTGATTAATTAATTTGATTTCCTTGTGTTCCCTTAGCCTAAAATCAGTGGCAACTTCTTCTCTCAGATGTAAAAAACAAGTTCTAAATGTGTTTTAGCTCAGGGACCTTCAAGCAGTACAGAGAATGGCCAGAAAGAGTTGATGGCCACAGCCAGGAACCTCTTGCACAAACCATACATAAATTATGTACCTTACCCTATGATTTAATATCTGAATTAATTCTCTTCCTTCAAACCCTTCTTTTTCCCACCCCACCACCAAAACCCTTTTATTATAACATACTATTTTATTGAAATTCTAGGCTTTTCAAGATGCTCCGTTTTCATAACTTATTCTTTGCTTCAGGTCAAGACATGTCTTGCTAAGGCTCTCTCGTCTTACACAAAGCAAAAGAAAATTATTTTCTAGCCAGCAAAAGAAATAAAGACGCACAAAACTGTGCAATCAAATACCAGCCATAATTTAAGTTTCTGAGTTCATGCAATTTTGTATGATTCACGCAGCCTTAATACTCAAATAAATCTAAACTCACTAAAGGCTCACAGACTTCCTGTAGCCAGACCTCCCCCCCTCCCCGTAACATCCATCTTTGCTTGCTTGAAAGCATGCAGGGCACACAGAGCAATAAAACAGCATGATCTTTGAAAGCCTTGAAGCAGGAGGCTCAGATATGCTGGCTCACCCAGTGACCCTGGACAACTGTAAGCAGAGATAAGAGGGTGGTCAAACTAATCGCTGACCAAGAGGCTGCCGAGGAGTGCCCTTGACTGAAACCAAACCCCCCCGCCGGGGGGGGGGGGGGGGGAGGGGAATCTCCCGCCCAGCAAAGAATGTCCAGTACTCCTAATTTAGCTCTCTCTCTCTCTCTTACAAGTGTAAATTATTTGAAACTCCCTTGTAAGAACTGGCGCCACAAAACGGACCAGTACAATTTGGCATCTTAGATAAGAAAGAGGATACGGGCCCCTACGGGTATAAAGATGGGTCCAGCAGCACACTCACTCTGAGCATCAATCTACCATCTATCTGCTGGTTGGGTTAGGTGTTTGTCCTCCCGAGGTTCCATGGGGACGTCCACCTCGTATTCGTCTTTCCGAGGAATTGAGAGACCGACCCTAGCCTGACCTGTTGGAGTCGAGAGGCACAGAAGGGGGTAAAAATTGTACCTGTATGTGTCCTTTGTTTAAGTATATACATAGTGTTAGAGCTCTTTAAAGATTAAGCTGTCACTTGGTACCATTATTTTCTATCCTCCTTTTTCCTTTGTAACCATTTAAAGATCTATATTTGCTAGCTGTTAAGAAGTAGAGCAACAGCCATTGTAACCACATGCTTTATAAGCCTTTTTAATAAACCTGTAACTGGTTAAGTTTTAACCTGACTTCTTCAGTTGCTGTAACAGAACCAAGCACAATTTAAAAGAACTTCAGCCGGTCATAAAGGACAGGTATAGGGAGAGCTTGGGCATTTTGGATTGTGTCACTTCCAGAGCCAGATCCGTTGGGGCATCTCTCAGCCTCCCTGGCTGCCCACTGCGAAGGGATCCTGTATCGTAGCAGTTGAAATCTGAGATGTAATAAGCTCTTCCTATAAACTCTGGGGCATCTGTCAGCCTGTTGGCTGCCCTCTGCAACGGGACCCCGGTCCTAGTGGTAAAGACACAGACGTTAAACTTCTCGGGGCGCCCTTCAGCCTCCTAGGCTGCCCGCTGCGACGGGACCTTGTGTCTCAGCAGTTAAAGACTTGGGTGTGACTGACACACACACACACACACTGCCCTGACCATTGGCTGACACTTCCGGCATACATACAGAAATGTATATGAATGAAGATTCAGTATTACTGACAACCAAAAATAGTGTTTATAGAGTCCAAGGCCAGAAGGGGCTACTCTCTTCTATTCTTACAGCCTATGTAACAGATGCCACAGACCTTCTCCCAGATAATTCCTTTTCGAAGAACAGAACATCTTTTAGAAAAACATCCAACCTTGATTTTAAAATGGATAGTAATGGGGATGCCCCCACAACTCAGGGTAAATTGTACCAATGTTTAATTATCCTCACTGTGAAATATTTAACATTTAATTCAAGTTCTGAATGTTATCTAACTTCAACTTCTAGCTACCGAACGTTGTTATGCCTTTGTCTGCTAGACCAAAGATCCCATTATCAAATATTTTTCCCTATTTAGGAACATAAAAACCTGATCAGTTCATCCTATAACTTTCCTTATGGCAAGCTAAGAAGATTGTGCCTGAGACTGTATGTATAAAGGCATATTTTCCAATCCTGTAATAATTCTTGTACCTCTTCTCTAAACCCTCTCCAATTTGTCAACATCCTTGATTAGTGAACACCAGAACAGGACGCAGTATTCCAGCAGCAGTCACACTGGTGTTTAATACAGAGGTAAGATAACCTCCCTATTCTGGCCTGTGACTCCTCTGCACACAGAGAAGCATTAGCACCTCTGGTCAGAGAGTAAGTCTACACAGCAAAACAAAGCTATGACACAAAGTCTTGGCGCCCCGGTCAGCTGACTCAGGCTCATACTGGAGGGCTAAAAACAGCAGGGTAAACATTCCTCCTTGGCTTGGCATCTGAAGCTCTGAGACCTGGGAAAAGAGTTGGGTTTCTGAGTCTGGGTGTCAGGGACTGGGTCTCAGTAGTCATGCCCAGTGGCTGGAGCAGAGCTCGAAACCAGACATAGATTTGCGACTGTGATGGCAGTAGCATTGGAATCAGGGTCCAGGGATATGCCAGAGTCAGAAATGATAAGCAGAATCTATAGACAAGCCAAATCAGTACTACAGCTCACATCCAGGTTCAGGCCAAAGGTGAAGGCCAAGTGGTCAGAATCCAGGGTGATCAAGCTGGAGGCAGGGCTGGAGCCAGTCAGTAACAGGGCTCAGGCAGGATCAGAACCAGAGGAGAAGCAGGCTGAGAGACTAGAGAGTCTGCTGTGCTACAAGGCAACAGGGCAGCTCCTGGCTGGGAACTGCTGTGGTGCAGACTGGCCTGCAGCTCTGGCAAGGTTGGGGAGCCTGAGCGCCTTCTGACTCAGGCTCTGCTCTGGGATATGCTGCTGCTGCATGCCTGAAGATGGAGGCCTGGTCTCCACGGCACAGTTAGGTCATTGCAAGGCAACACCCATCGACCTAGCTGTGGATGTGTCTGCACTTAGCTTCTGCTCCTGCCAATGTAACTGCCCCACTACATCAACTGAATAGCAACACCCTCATGAGCAGCATAGTCTAAAGACGATGTTGTTGGGTCAACAGTGTGTCACCTACATTGACTGTTCTGTCCTCTGGGAGCTGAACCACAATGCTGCAGTGACCACTCTGGCCCACGTTGTAAACTTCGCTACTCAGTAGACTGGTGAACAGGAAGGTGCTCCTCCCTTTTAAAGCCCTGCTGTCTCATATCCAGGTTCTCATCCATTGTAATCCCCAGATCGTTTTCTGCTCAACTGTTGCTTAGCCAGTCGGTCCCCAGCCTGTAACAATGCTTGGGATTCTTCTGTCCCAAGGGCAGGACTCTGCACTTGTCCTTGTTGAACCGCATCAGATTTTTTTTTTGGCCCAATCCTCTAATTTGTCTAGGTCACTCTGGACCTTATCTCTCCCCTCCAGCATATCTACCTCTCCCCGTAGCTTAGTGTCATCCTCAAACTTGTAGAGCGTACAATCCATCCCCCTCATCCAGGTCATTAATGAAGATATTGAACAAAACCTGGCCTCTGGGGGCACTCCACTGACCAACTCTTGGGGCACTCCACTTGACACCGGCTGTCAACTAGACTTTCATCTGTTGATGATTACCTGTTGAACCCAATGATCTAGCCAGCTTTTTATCCATCTTATAATCCTTTCATTCAAGCCATACTTCTTTAACTTGCTGGCAAGAATACTGTGGGAGACTGTATCAAAAGCTTTGCTAAATCAAGCTCTGTCACATCCACCACCTTCCCCATTTCCACAGAGCCAGCTATCTCATCATAAAAGGCAATCAGGTTGGTCAGGCATGACTTGCTCTTGGTGAATCCAGGTTCATTGATCCTGATCACTCTACACAATGCGTGTGCTGTATCGGCAGCTGCTGCTATTGTGGCCTTTAGGGCCTTCCCCTACACACATGCAGAACACCTGAACTGGGTGAGGAGGATAACTGGCTCCAAGAGATGCTGCGAGCCTGTGCTGATTCAAAGAATGAGACCAAGATGACCCTTGAAGACATGGAAAAGGAAAGACTGGAGAGGAGAAAGGTCTGGGAGTTTCAGCAGAAAAAGGAGATGGAGATGCACCGGGATATAACAGGGCTTCTCGGACAGCAGAGATGCTGTAGACTCTGGTAGACCTTCAGGTCCAAGTCTCTTTTGTTCATTTACTTCTGTGGCCCATTAAGAATTCAGAGGTGGTAAGGGAGGATGCACACGTTTGCAGGGATTTTGAAAAAAAGGTGTGAAATATTATGGGAAATTGACCTCATGCAGCCAGTCACCTCTGTAGGACTTGTTTTGGCCTCATGAGGCACTACAAAAACTTCACAAAACACCCTGCACTGGGAGATAGCTACCTGTGTTGCACAGCCTCCGTGTCACTACAAGCACTTCATGGAGGACATGTACCACCAATACAATGAGCATAGTGTGCACAGGCAAAAGTGATGTAATAACCGCGATGGCTGCATGCTGACATAACTTAGGTCAACATCATTCTGTAGTGCAGACATGGGCTCAGTCACCGCAAGCTCTTTTGGAAGGGTAAATCAGTGCAGTTAAATTGTTGCTACATGCCTGAGGGATTACTGCAGCTCTATGGGAGGGACAGTTAAGAGAGCAATTTGGGGTTTGCTGTGTGTTTGCCTCACGCTGGGCTCTAGTCCAAGAAGGAACATCTATGGTGTTATTTTTGCTCCCATAGTGTGAGCCCCATGAACCTGTGTCAATTGACCTAGTGCCGAAGACTCACTGCCACAGGATAGACATATCTAGAGCCACTATGGGTGCACATATTTAGTCCATTACCCACCACAGAATCAGGACCACAAGGGTCATATAGTCTAACCCCTGCCAAGAAGCAGAACTGCTTGTGTCTATACCATCCAAGACAGATGGGTGTCCAACCTCCTTATGAAAATCTCCAGTGAATGGAAAATTAGACACCACTCTCTACAGAAAACCCACCGACTCATACAGTTACCTACATGCTTCCAGCTCCCATCCAGAACACACCACACGATCCATCTCCCTGCTTTGGAGTCTCTTCTTATGTCTTTCAGATTCCAAGGTGGGTTCAAGGAACTGGCAGGAGCCGGACCGCGTGTGTGCAAAAGAGCGCAAACGCCACAAGACGCCTTCTGCGCACGTGCGGTCTGGATGAATACTGCTATGGAAAAGTCTCCAATCTGTGGTGCCGGAATGAGCCCAGCACCTACAGTGGAGCACCCATAGGGACACACATCTCGAAGAACGACAGTTACTGCACCAAGGTGAATAACTATCTCAATGTGTGGATGAGACAATAGTGTAGGGAGGATTAGTTTAGATTTATTAGGAATTGGGAAAACTTTTGGGGGAAGAAGGAACCTATACAGAGAAGAAGGGCTCCACCTAAACCAAAATGGAACCAGATTGTTGACACTTAAAAATAAAAAGTTCGTAAAACAGTTTTTAAACTATGGGCTGGGAGAAAGCCAACAGGTGCAGAGAAGCATGTGAGAAGGACAGAGCTGTCCTTTAGGGGAGAGTCTATTAAGAGAGATTTGCTATGTCCTAGTAAGGAGGAGAGGATGGAAGATGATAAAATACAGATAAGATCTGATGAGAAACAAAAACTTGGTGGAATGAGGATAACATCCCTGTCTCCCAGACCTCACAATCTAAGTATAAGACAAAAGAGAACAGGTAAAGGAGAACAAGTAAACAATGAAACAGTATTGGTCATGATGGGCAGATGTCTCTGCACAGCAACAGGCTAGCCTTCAGGATTTTATAAGTATCACCACAGAGAGTTTTGCAGAGAGATTTGAAGGTGAACAATGAAGTAGCTTTGCAGATGTTTATAGGCAGCACCTCTCAAGGGAGTGAGGCATCATGGGAGTGGGTTTGTTGTTTGTGCCATCCATAGTCCAGCCAGAGGCGAGCTTTGACAGCTTGATAGCAAATGAGAGATGATAGGTAGGGAGGGGATTAACACTGATGGGCCTTCAAAGAAACTGGGTGGACTCATTCAAGAGATTGGCTTGACCTGACTCAACCTTACAAATGGTTGTGGGAAACCTTCACTGATTCCTGACATAGCACCTCATCAGCCTGCCTGAAAACCCACAAACAGGCGGACAGAGGATACGTTTGGAAAAGGCTGGCAGGATTATGACATTTTGTATGTGACACCTTGTAAGTAAAAGGTATCCACGTGAAAAGGGCTCAGCGTTTTAATATGTCTGGACTTAGGTCTGGTACCAAAAGCAAAGCAAAAGGAAATTCTTCATGTAAAGCAATTATGAATACAAGATGTCACTGATGCAGAGTGATCTGGCTGGTGTGGTAAGCTGGCTGTGGACAGACAAAATGTGTTTTAAGATCCAAATGTTAATGTAAACATTTGTGAACAAAGCATGCAGATCAGACTTACAGTATGGGCGATTCTACCAAGGAAGTGGTGATTCTGAAAAAGACATGGGGTCATGTCTTTCTAACTGTGAGGATAGTAAGCCATGGAACTGGGGGTATGTCTACACTACCACCCTAGTTCGAACTAGGGTGGTAGTGTAGACATACCCCCAGTTCCATGGCTTACTATCCTCACAGTTAGAAAGACATGACCCCATGTCTTTTTCAGAATCACCACTTCCTTGGTAGAATCGCCCATACTGTAAGTCTGATCTGCATGCTTTGTTCACAAATGTTTACATTAACATTTGGATCTTAAAACACATTTTGTCTGTCCACAGCCAGCTTACCACACCAGCCAGATCACTCTGCATCAGTGACATCTTGTATTCATAATTGCTTTACATGAAGAATTTCCTTTTGCTTTGCTTTTGGTACCAGACCTAAGTCCAGACATATTAAAACGCTGAGCCCTTTTCACGTGGATACCTTTTACTTACAAGGTGTCACATACAAAATGTCATAATCCTGCCAGCCTTTTCCAAACGTATCCTCTGTCCGCCTGTTTGTGGGTTTTCAGGCAGGCTGATGAGGTGCTATGTCAGGAATCAGTGAAGGTTTCCCACAACCATTTGTAAGGTTGAGTCAGGTCAAGCCAATCTCTTGAATGAGTCCACCCAGTTTCTTTGAAGGCCCATCAGTGTTAATCCCCTCCCTACCTATCATCTCTCATTTGCTATCAAGCTGTCAAAGCTCGCCTCTGGCTGGACTATGGATGGCACAAACAACAAACCCACTCCCATGATGCCTCACTCCCTTGAGAGGTGCTGCCTATAAACATCTGCAAAGCTACTTCATTGTTCACCTTCAAATCTCTCTGCAAAACTCTCTGTGGTGATACTTATAAAATCCTGAAGGCTAGCCTGTTGCTGTGCAGAGACATCTGCCCATCATGACCAATACTGTTTCATTGTTTACTTGTTCTCCTTTACCTGTTCTCTTTTGTCTTATACTTAGATTGTGAGGTCTGGGAGACAGGGATGTTATCCTCATTCCACCAAGTTTTTGTTTCTCATCAGATCTTATCTGTATTTTATCATCTTCCATCCTCTCCTCCTTACTAGGACATAGCAAATCTCTCTTAATAGACTCTCCCCTAAAGGACAGCTCTGTCCTTCTCACATGCTTCTCTGCACCTGTTGGCTTTCTCCCAGCCCATAGTTTAAAAACTGTTTTACGAACTTTTTATTTTTAAGTGTCAACAATCTGGTTCCATTTTGGTTTAGGTGGAGCCCTTCTTCTCTGTATAGGTTCCTTCTTCCCCCAAAAGTTTTCCCAATTCCTAATAAATCTAAACTAATCCTCCCTACACTATTGTCTCATCCACACATTGAGATAGTTATTCACCTTGGTGCAGTAACTGTCGTTCTTCGAGATGTGTGTCCCTATGGGTGCTCCACTGTAGGTGCTGGGCTCATTCCGGCACCACAGATTGGAGACTTTTCCATAGCAGTATTCATCCAGACCGCACGTGCGCAGAAGGCGTCTTGTGGCGTTTGCGCTCTTTTGCACACACGCGGTCCGGCTCCTGCCAGTTCCTTGAACCCACCTTGGAATCTGAAAGACATAAGAAGAGACTCCAAAGCAGGGAGGAGGGCAGGTAGTAGAGCACCCATGGGGATACACATCTCGAAGAACAACAGATACTGCACCAAGGTGAAGCAAAATACAGGACTATGTAGCACTTTAAAGACTAACAAGATGGTTTATTAGATGATGAGCTTTCGTGGGCCAGACCGACTTCCTCAGATCAAATAGTGGAAGAAAATAGTCACAACCATATATACCAAAGGATACAATTTAAAAAAATGAGCACATATGAAAAGGACAAATCAAATTTCAGAACAGAAGGGGAATGGGGGGGGGGAGGTGAATGTCTGTCGGCTAATGATATTAGTGATAATTGGGGAAGCTATCTTTGTAATGGGTAAGCTAACTGGATCCTTTGTTTAGACTCAGATGTAAAGTGTCCAATTTTAGCATGAATGACAGTTCAGAGGATTCCCTTTCAAGTGCAGAGTTAAAGGGTCTTTGTAGCAGGATGCAGGTAGTTAAGTCGTTGAGACAGTGTCCTTTCTGGTTGAAATGGCAAGAAACTGTTTTTTCTTTGTGATCCTGTCTGATATCTGTTTTGTGGGCATTGATCCTTTGGCGAAGTGTCTGAGACGTTTGTCCAATGTACATAGCAGACGGACACTTTCGGCACATGATAGCATAAATTATATTTCTGGATGCGCAGGAATATGTGCTCTTGATCTTATAACTCACTTGGTTAGGTCCAATAATGGTATCAGCAGAATGAATATGTGGACAAAGCTGGCAACGGGGTTTGTTGCAAGGAAAGGTACCAGGGTTGGTATTAGTGTGCTATGTCCTGTGGTGGTTGGTAAGAATCATCTTGAGGTTAGGTGGTTGTCTATAGGAGACTATGGGTCTGTCTCCCAGAGCCTCTTTGAGTATGGTATCCTGTTCCAATATAGGCTGTAGTTTATTGATAATGTGTTGGACAGGTTTAAGTTGGGGGTTGTAGGTGATGACAAGTGGTGTTCTATTGTTGGTTTTCTTGGGTCTGTCTTGAAGTAGATGGTTTCTAGGTATTCGTCTGGCTCTTTCAATTTGCTTTTTTATTTCTCTGGGTGGGTAGTTGAGATTTATAAATGCTTGGTAGAGATCCTGAAGCTTCTGGTCTCTGTCAGTGGGGTTAGAGCAGATGCGGTTGTATCGAAGGGCTTGGCTATAGACGATGGATCGTGTGGTGTGTTCTGGATGGGAGCTGGATGCATGTAGGTAACTGTATGAGTCAGTGGGTTTTCTGTAGAGAGTGGTGTCTAATTTTCCATTGTTGATTTGTACGGTGGTGTCCAGGAAGTGGATCTCTCGTGTAGAATGGTCCAGGCTGAGGTTGATGGTGGGGTGTAGGTTGTTGAAATCTCTGTGGAATATCTCCAGTGTTTCTTGGCCATGTGTCCAGATCATAAAGATGTCATCGATGTACCGTAGGTAGAGGAGGGGTGAAAGGGGACGGGAGTTGAGGAAACGTTGTTCTAGGTCAGCCATAAAGATGTTAGCATACTGTGGGGCCATGCGTGTACCCATGGCTGTGCCGCTGATCTGGAGGTATAAGTTGTTCTCAAACCGGAAATAATTGTGGGTGAGAACAAAGTTACATAGGTCTGCTATCAGGTTGGCAGTAGTGTCCTCTGGGATAGTGTTTCTAATTGCTTGTAATCCGTCTTCATGTGGGATGTTGGTATATAGAGCTTCTACATCCATGGTGGCAAGGATAACCACTGCATCCCCTTTGTCAGCTGGTTTGATTATAATATCCAGGTTGTTTTTGAGACTCTGGATGGCATGGTGTTCAGCACGGCTGAGATTGTGTGTTGCTTGTTGTCATTTGTGAATAATGTCAGTCTGTGTGTTGTTGCGGAAGCTTTGTATATAGAAATCCAGATTGTAATTCCGACCGTCAGGGGGAGTCCATATAGAATTATTTTTCCTTTGGTGTTGATAGGGGGGATCTGGTAGGTCAAATTGGTGTTTATTGGTGGTTTGGAAATATTCTCGGAGGCGGCGAAAAAAAGCCTAAGGTCACCACAAAATTGTATCCAGTTTGTGGGGGACGTGGGGCAGAAAGAGAGACCCCAGGACAAGACGGACTCTTCTGCTGGATTGAGTTTGTAGCTGGAGAGGTTAACAATATTATCCGGTGGGTTGAGGTAGTTGCTGTTATAGCCTGTGGTATGAAGCAGGTTAGAAAGTTTATTGTCTATTCTAACCTACTATATACAAAGCTTCCGCAACAACGCACAACTCTTGTGAAGTTAGCTCTAGGTGGCACTGGAAGAGGTACACATTGCGCAGAATAACATTCAGCTATACATGAAGTTATGATTTTTGACACACATTGAGATATTGGCTCGCCTTTAGATCGCTCAGCAAGTTTAGACTATCAGTAGATCTGTCTCTATAAAAAGCAGGTGCCCTACAGACATCTGGGATGTGGAACGATGCTTCACATAGTGAGGTGTGTGGTTTAGGATAAAAAGATGGTAAGATAATTGGCTCATTGACATGGAATTCTGAGCAGATTTTGGGAATGAAGGCTGAATGGTGTCTCAAAACTACCCCATCCTTGTTAAAGATCGTATATGGGGACACTGCCATGAGAACTGATATCTCTCTGACCCTGCAAGCCGATGTGATGGTGAAAAGAAAGACCACCTTCATAGTCATTATTTGTAAGGAAATTGTAGCCAGTGGTTCAAACGGTGGTGCGGTTAAGGCCCCAAGTACTATGTCCAGGTTCCATGGTGGGGGGGACAGGTTTTCTAGGAGGATTTCACTTTGTAAGGTCTTTGATGAACCTTTTGGTAGTGGGATGGGCAAACACTGAAGTGTTATTGATGGATTGTCTGAAGGCCAGCGATTGCTGTGAGGTGCACTTTTAGAGAAGATAAAGCCAAACCTGTCTGTTTCAGGTGCAGGATACAGTCGAGGACGAGATGGAGAGGGATTGAATGATGTTCTGTATCATGTACGGAACACCAGGAGGCAAACCTGCGCTATTTGGAAAGGTAAGTGTTTCGGGTGTTCTGCCTACTACTGTGGATCAGTATGTCCTTGACTTGTGTGGAGCAGAGGTCTTTGGATGCATTTAGCCAATTAGGAGCTATGCTGTGAGTTGTAGGGTGTGCACTTGGGGATGAAGCAAGAACCTCTGGTTCTGGGTGAGGAAGTCTGGGAGAAACCAATGTTGGCATGCCCATAAGGGTGTCACTAATATCATGCTGGCTTTGTCCACCTTGACCTTTTCCAGGACTTTGGCCATGAGGACTCTGGGAGGAAAGGCATCCAGGAGAGGCCCGTTCCAATTGAGTAGGAGTGCGTCGCCCAAGGATCCCTGACCTACTCCTGTTCTGGAGCAGTAATAGTGGCACTTCTTGTTGCGATAGGTCGCAAAGAAGTCTATGAGGGGTGTCCCCCACCATCAGAAGAGGAGATGAAGGACTCTGTCATGGAGCTCCCATTCATGATCCGGTATGAAGGGCCTGCTCAGGAAATTTGCAGCAAGGTTGTTGACTCCGGGTAAGTAAGATGCCACAAGTGTGATGTTGTTTTGAATGCACCAATTCCAAAGTCGAATTGCTTCTACACATAGGCTGCATCTAGACTGGCATGATTTTGTGCAAAAGCGATTGCTTTTGCGCAAAATCTTGCCACCTGTCTACACTGGCCGCGAGTATTTGCGCAAGAACACTGACTTTGTAATGTACAAAATCAGTGGTTCTTGCGCAAAAACTCTGATGCTCCCGCTCAGGGATAAGCCCTCTTGTGCAAGTATTCTTGTGCAAGATGGCCAATGTAGACAGCCACGTTAATTTCTTGCGCAAGAGAGCCTGATGGCCAAAAAGGGCTATCGGAGCTTTCTTGCGCAAGAGAGCGTCTACACTGGCACGGATGCTTTTGCACGAAAGCAAATCTTTTGCACAAAGGCACATGCCAGTATAGACGCTCTCTTGCGCAAATACTTTTAACGGAAAATTTTTTCCGTTAAAAGTATTTGCGCAAGAGAGCGTCTATACTGGCATGTGCCGCTAGAACGTGCTCCACCTTGATGACTGATATAGTACATCACCGCGATGTTGTCTGTGAGAATCTTGACTGACATATTGTGAATATGGTTGTGGAAGTGCCTGCATGCGTTGAAGACCACTCTGAGTTCCAGGTTTATATGGAACGAAGTCTCCTGAGGCAACCATCGACCCTGGACCGACATGGTGCCCATGTGCACGCCCCAACTTATGAGGGAGGCGTCTGTGGTGATATGGCATGAGGGCTGTTGTTGAAGAAAGGGGACACCAGCAAGAAGATTTTTGTGGTCTGTCCACCACTTGAGGAAATGCAGGACCAAAGTCAGAGGTGTCACTGATCTGTGAGCATTGTGCTTTGTGTGGTTGTACACAGATGCTAGCCAGTGTTGTAGGCTGTGGAAATGCAGCCTGGCATGATGGACTGCATATATTGTAGCCACCATATGCCCCATGTGTTTTAGGCAAGCTATTATCTGTACGGTAGGGCTGTATCATATAATGTCTATCAAGTTCCGAACAGCTTGGAACCTTTGAAGGGGCAAATAGACCTTGCCATAGTGGCGTCTAATCGGGCGCCAATAAATGCCAGCTCCTGAGTAGGGTGGAATGTTGACTTGTGTTCGTTAACTAATAGCCCCTGGAAATCGAAAGTCCATTGTGGTGATATCTACCATAATAGATGTCTCAGTTGATCAATGGCCCTTTAGCAGGCAGTCATGAGGTAGGGAAATATAGTTACTCCTTCTCGACGTAGATGCACCGCAACTACTGCCAGGGTTTTTGAAAATACTGTGAGGGCAGTGGACAGACTGAAGGGCAAGTCCCAGTACTGGAAATGGTCTATGTCAACTGTAAACCGAAGGACTCTCCTGTGTGCAGGATGAATCGTGATATAAAAATACGCATCTTGAAGGTCAAGAGCAGCAATCCAGTTGTTGTGATCTAGTGCAGGTATTACAGAGGCAAGAGTCACCATTTTAAATTGTTGTTTTTGGAGATATCTGTTTAATTTCCAGAGATCAAGTATTGGTCTCCCTCCACCTATTTTCTTTTGTGTGAGGAAATAGTGGGAGTAAAACCCTCTCCCTTAGAACTCATCTAGAACTCTTTCCATTGCACCTATGGAGGGTAAATGGTTGACCTTGTTGTGCAGCAAGTTCTCGTGAGAAGGGTCCCTGAAGAAGGACGGGGTAGGTGGGGTGGTGGAGGGGATGGAGAGAAAGGGTATTGTGTAGCAGGATTGAATTATCTCAAGACTCACTTGTCGGTGATGACAGCAGCCCATTGCTAGTAAAAGGGCTGCAGACGATGGTAGAATAAGTGGGTGCTACGGTGCATGTTCCTAGTGTGTGTGACTGTTTGCATGCTCTCGACCGAGGAGTCAAATGTGCTGCTTGTTGACAGGTTGAGATTGTGTGCAATTATTTTGGTTACGGCATCTCTGAGGTCTTTGTCGGGTGTGGTATTGATCAAAGCCCCGTTGTTGATGTTGCCAATGTTGGCTATTATAAGAATAATCATAACGCCTCCAATAAGGGGTATAATGACGCCTCCAGTACGAGGGAGTGTACATCCCCAAGGTGTGTAAGGTCGTGTGTGAGTCTTTACTTGAATGAAGCATGCTATCTGTCTTCTCTGTGATAAGTCCTCCACTCTATTTTGCAGGTCTCTGAGGACTCCTGCTGATTGAATATAAGAAACCCGTCTCATCACCACTGCAGTAGCCATCAACCGAGCTGCTGTGTCCGCTACATCCATGGCTATTTGGAGCCCTACTCTGGCGGAAGTGTACCCCTCTTGTACGATGGACTTCAATATGGGCCTCTTTGATTCAGGGAGGTAGTCTAAGACCGATGTTAGCTTGGTATAATTATTGAAATTATGATTTGATAAATGTGTGACGTAATTTGCTATCCTAAGCAGGAGCGTTGCAGACGTGTACACTTTCCTGCCAAATAAATCCAGCCTCTTATTATCTCTGTCAATGGTGGAGTTTTTGTAGTGCAGTGTTTTTTATCTTTGTTGAGCAGCATCAACCACCAGGGAGTTGGACTGGGGATGGGTGAATAAAAATTCCATCCCCTTAAGCAGCACAAAGTACTTCTTGTCCATTTTCTTACTGGTGGGCAGGGCAGATGCAGGGGTTTGCCAAATTTCATCTGCTACTTCAAGTATAGCTTCATCCAAGGTAATGGCTATCTTGGAGCTTTGTGTTGGCTGGAGATTCTTGAGAAGACGGTGTTGTTTCTCCTATATCTCTGCTAACTGCACTTCCTGGCTGACCGCCACCATCTTGAAAAGTTCTTGAAATTGTTTGAGGTTGTCAGGAGGTGAGATGTTTCCCGGAATAACGGCCTCATCAGATGAAGTGGAGGATTGGTCCATTGGGGAGATGTCAGATGGATGCTCCTCTATATCAGAAGACTTCCCCTCCTCTGGTTCCAAACTGTTGCAGCTGTGGTGATGCAGGTTATTGGACTGGAGTGGGGGGGGGGAGGAGAGCTGGAGCCAGTGAATGCCTGGATGAGGTAAGTGGTGACAGTGATGGTCATAGTAACAGTATACTCTGTGAAGGGGTGACCGTCTTTCAAGGTGCAAGTGCCTGTAGTGTTCCCAATGCGCCGTCCGTGGTGATTGTGGCGAATGGGATCAAGTGTATGAGATCCTGGATGAAGGCGATGGGGAGACAGAAAAACAGTGGTGGGAGTAATGGGCATGCTCTCTCGGTGCCCTGAGGAATGGGGATGATAGTCTCCGGTGCAGGGAGCAAGGAGACCTGTGACGTTCCCCAGGGTGAGATCTCAGTGTCGGTGATTTCAGTGCCAGCGGTGAGGGCGATAGCGCTGAAGAGAAAGTAGGCAATGGCGACTGAGGCGTAAGGCTTCGGTGCCGAGGTGTTTTCGATGCCGACTTCCTCCGTGCCGCATCGTCTGGACGCGGGCTTGGTACTAACAGCGCTGGTGGTCGTGAGCTTGGTGCCAGTGGTGCCAATGAGGAATGCAGCGCGGGCATGTCAGTTGGTGCCAGAGATTTGGTTGTCGGAGTTGCCGGTGCTGAGGTTACTCTCGGCTCTGTCGGTGAGCGTGGTGTTGGCACTGCAGTCATCGACTTTTTGTTTTGGAAGTTGAGACTGCTCTGGATTGAGAAACGGCAGTGCCAGACGTGCCAGGCTTGTCTCCAATACTCAATCTGCTCTGCGACATAGCAGGCAGAGATCTTGTAGGGGATGCCCTTACTTTCTTGGGCGGAGTGGCAGTAGGAGATGAGGCTCTGCATTTTGAGCCGGCTGGTCAGAAGAGGCTGTGTAATCTGATCCGGTGGGCTGGAGAGCCTTATCGAAAAGGATCATCTCTCTATCTCTGTGGGCCCTCGCCGTTAACTTACTACAATGAGGGCACTTCTGTGGAACATGAGCTTCGCCGAGACATTGAATACAAACCGAATGCCCGTCAGAAGCAGGCATGGCTTCGAGGCTTGTGTCACACTTTTTAAAACCTGGTGAGGCAGGCATTTTGCTGTTCTTCAGTTAGGCTTTTTTTTTTTTTAAAGTCCTCAAAGTGAAGAGGAATGAGAAGGGATTTAACTATATATATATATATGAAAATCCTTATGTACTATCTAGTAAACGAAGAAAGAAAGGGTGTTTTTTTTAAAACAAGAACAAGGGTCTTAACTAAGGCTGTGTCTAGACTACACCTCTTTGTCGACAGAGAGATGTAGATTATGTATGTTGAAATTGCTAATGAAGCAGGGAGTTAAATAACCTGTGCTTCATTAGCATAAACATGGCCGCTGCTTTTTTTTTTTAAACGGAGCTTTTTTGGAAAAAAAAGGCAATCTAGACGCAGATATGTTGAAAATAAACCCTTTTTCAACAGATACAGGGTCTAGACTTCCGTGTTTTTTAAAAAGCTCCATTTCGAAAAAAAGCGGTGGACATGTTTTTGCTAATGAAGCGTGGGATATTTAAATCCCTGCTTCATTAGCAATTTTGACATGCCTAATCTACATCTCTCTGTTGACAGAGAAGTGTAGTCTAGATGTAGCCCCACTGTCAAAAATGTATGCCTTATTTTCAGTCTGTGTTCACTGACCTTTGGCTTCCAATCAGTGGATTATTTCTTCATTTTTCTTCTAGACTGAAGAGTGTACTATAAAATATTTGTTTCCATATAGGTACCTATAGTCTATAATCAAGCCACCAATTAACCTTCCCATTGTTAAAATAAATAGATTAAGCTCCTTGACTCCATAACTATAATTCACGTTGTCTCAGCTTTTAATCATTCTCATGGCTCTTCTCATAACCCTCTCCAATTTAGCAACATCCTTCTTGAATTGCGGGTATCAAAACTTGACACAGTATCCCAGCAATGGTTATACCAGTGCCAAACAGAGAGGTAAAATAATCTCTCTACTCTTAATGATATTCCTTTGTTGATGCAATATAAGTGTCTTGGCACTTAAATAAAAAACTATCGATTATTAACTATAAACTATGAAAAGTACTATTAACAAATTTGAATACTCTCACAAATGAGGAAAGGTTGAGACCAGTTCACTCCATCTGCAGCCTGAGGCAGTTGAGAGGAACTGGTGGGAGCCGGAGCACGAATGCCGCAAGGCACCCTCTGTGCATGTGCGGTCTGGCTGAATATTGCTATGGAAAAGTCTCCAATCTGCAGCGTCGAAGAACCACCTGCAGTTCTGCCTATCTACTTGGCCCTGAGCATGGAACTGGAAATCCAATTAAAATGCAATTTTAATGAGGTCTCTTCTTCAAATTCTTATACCACCACTTGCAAGTCTCCTTACTATGTCTTCTGATTATCACATTTCTCAGAGTACCCACTCTGATTGTCAGTTTGCAGAAAGTTTATAATCTTGTGGGATGAGCTGAGCCCTTTACAGGGTCAAATTCAGTAATTCAATGCTGCTTCTAAGTTGAATTTCAGAAAACCCATTCCTAAAATTCTAAGGCATGACACCTTTAAGTGGGCAAATAGCTTTAGCTTGAAGTGCCAACCATTTCAAATCTCAACAAGCTGTGCTATAACTGTTTAAGGAATCAGAACTGTGATGTGACTAGTTCACATGTCCTGAACCTCTTCAGAGCATCTGCAGTCAAAAAAGGCTAAAAGAATATTGGGAACTATTAGGAAAGTGAAAGAAAATTAGACAGAAAATAGAATAATAGAATACTAGGACTGGAAGGGACCTCGAGAGGTCACCGAGTCCAGTCCCCTGCCCCCATGGCAGGACCAAATACTAGACCATCCCTGATAGACATTTATCTAACCTACTCTTAAATATCTCCAGAGATGGGGATTCCATAACCTCCCTGGGCAATTTATTCCAGTGTTTGACTACTCTGACAGTTAGGAACTTTTTCCTAATGTCCAACCTAAACCTTCTTTGCTGCAGTTTAAGCCCATTGCTTCTTGTTCTATCCTCAGAGGCCAAGATGAACAAGTTTTCTCCCTCCTCCTTATGACACCCTTTTAGATATCTGAAAACTGCTATCATGTCCCCCCCTCAATCTTCTCTTTTCTAAACTAAACAAACCCAATTTTTTCAGCCTTCCTTAAAGGTCATGTTCTCTAGACCTTTAATCATTCTTGTTGCTCTTCTCTGGACCCTCTCCAATTTCTCCAAATCTTTCTTGAAATGCGGTGCCCACAACTAGACACAATACTCCAACTGAGGCCTAACTAGCACAGAGTAGAGCGGAAGAATGACTTCTTGTGTCTTGCTCACAACACACCTGTTAATGCACCCCATATTATAAACAACTATATAAATCCATGGTGCAGCCACATGTTGAATATTGTGATCAGCTCTGGTCATTCCATCTCATACAGGATGTAGTGGAACCATAGAGTTTCAGAGCAGGGTAACAAAGAAGATCAAGAGTATGGAACAGCTTCTGTACTAGGAGAGGTTAAAAAGAGGTTCTGCTGGAAAAGAGACAATCAAGGGCAGCTGTGATAGAGGTCTGTAAAATCATAAATGGTGTGGAGACAGTACATAAAGAAGTGTTATTTTCTTTTTCCCCCACAATACAAAAATCAGAGGTCACTTGATATAATTAATAGGCTGCAGGTTTACTATAAACCCGAGGAAATACTTTTTCATACAGTGCACAGTTAACTTGTTGAACTCGTTGGGAGGTTGTTATGGCCAATAGCCTAACTGGGCTAAAAAACCCACCAAGGTAAATTCATGGAGGGCAAATCCATCCATGGCTATTGGCCAAGATGGATAAGGAATACAACCCCATGCCAAGGGCAATTTGAAATTTCTGTCAGCTAGAAACTGGGAAGGAAAGAAAATGATATAATCTTTCCAAAACTACCCTGTTCTACGCAAGGAATAGGGTAGATTTTTTATTGTAGCCAAGAAGCTAATGGCGTATTAGGGTGCATTAGGAGGAGCCCTGCCAGCAGGTTTGAGAAGATATTATTCTCCTTTATTTAGCACTGGCGAGGATACATCTGGATTACTGCATCCAGTTCTGGGCCCCCCACTATAGAAAGGATGTGGACACATTGGAGAGGGTCCAGCGGAGCGCAACCAAAATGATTAGGGGGCTGGAGCATATGAACTACGAGGAGAGGCTGAGGGATTTGGGCTTAGTTAGTCTAGAGAAGAGAAGAGTGAGGGGGGATTTGATAGCAGCCTTCAACTTCCTGAAGGGAAGTTCCAAAGAGGATGGAGAGAGGCTGTTCTCAGTAGTGACAGGTGGCAGAACAAAGAGTAATGGTCTCAAGTTACAATGGGAGAGATCTAGGTTGGATATGAGGAATAACTATTTCACTGGGAGGGTGGCGAAGTACTGGAATGGGTTACCTAGGGAGGTGGTGGAATCTTCATGCTTAGAGGTCTTTAAGTCCCTGTTTGACAAAGCCTTGGCTGGGATCATTGAGTTGGGGATGCTTTGGGCTAGAGGGAGCACTCGTCTGACCCACTATGGCTGTTCTTATTCTATCCTTAACTAAGCCTTGAGTCATTGGAAGTGACACATAAAAATGTTGTTGGTAGGGCTGATTTACAGGGTTGGACTTGCAAAGAAAACGCTTAAAAAGGTAAGTTGGCTTTCCACCCCACATCCTCAGAATCCTCGTTAGAGAATTTCCAGGTCCTGCTGACAGACACAAGTCAGCCAGTTATACTGGCTCTCTCCGAACAATGGTACATTTGATGGAGAAACTGAACCAAACGGATGTCATTAGGCATGAAAGATATTGGAATAACTAGATATGAGTCAGGCCCCTTCAATGGTGCTAACTGCCATCTGCTAACACCACGTTTGATCTTCACATTACAAAATATAAGTCCCCTGAAAATGTTGTATATACTGTTCTACCAAAACGGACAAATACATCTAAGTAACAGAGCTATTCCTTTACACTCTTTTCGCCTGAAACCTGCAAATTCCTGAACAACCTGGCAGAGCTAAGGAGATGGTTTGGAGAAGGGAACAAAATGAAAGCATAACAAATTTCATGTTTGAAAATTATTTCTTTACCAGTTTTGTTTACTTCCTTTTGGCAAAAACTGAACTGTTTTCTTGTGTTGCTAATGCAGCAGAAGTGATAATAGCTGCCTTTTGTTTATTTCCCTGTTAATTATGAAATCATTGTTAATTCTGGGAATATAGATAGCTAGTAGCTGCTGTTCATCTCACATTGTAACTTGATCTTCAGAGGGATAGCTGAGTTCTTTTGTAACAGGAAAAACTTAAAAAACAACCTGCCATGATTATGAGGGTTAGCCAGCAGCCTGGGGATTAAGGGGTTAACTACACCTAGCCAGGTGGAGTGAACAGTAGGAATGTAGGTGGGACTTTCAAACTGGGACAAAGGAATTCGAGTTTTTTGCTTTCTCCCTTTTGTCTCTCTGGGTGTGTTCTCTACAGCTACAGAGAGGGACAAGCATGTCTCTCTCTCTCTCCAAGACACCATTCTTCATTTTCTGTAAGTAGAGTAAGTTTAGGTAGTTTCGTTAGGCTTTATTGTTTTAAGGGTTAGATCTGAGATCTGGCACTGTTTAAAAGATGTTTTGGCTTTTCTTTGTAACTAAGTTCTAGGCCCATGGAGTTTCTCCATGAGTATATTTTGTTACCTTCCCATCTAGTCATTATGCTTGCAACAGGAATATTGTTGTAATAATAAAAGTTCTTTCTTTTCTTTAAATTTAGTGAATGATACCATAGATTTTGAATCTTGAAGATTGGTGAGATTCATTTTAAAGACTTTGGGGAAATAAGATTTTTTTAAACCCCCACAAAAGTATAAATACTAACATAAGAGCTCTTGATATAAAGAGAATAGAACACAGACTAACTTTTTAGAGTTGCAGACTTGATTTGCAAAGATTTAGAGAAAAAACAGATTAACTGTGAAAAATAAAATTACTGCATTTTCCATGCAGTATATTTTTAAACAATCCCTTGATATTTTATCTGAGCTGAAGAATTCTGCCCATCATAAAAGGGTATCAGAGGAAGAATGAATTAACAGAAACTATCACTCTTTGGGTATGTCTAGACTACATGCCTCTGCCAACAGAGGCATGTAAAATAGGCTACCCGACATAGCCA